AGGCAGGGCTCTGGTGTCAAGGAGTCAGCAGCCCAGCGGATGCCCTTACTTGTGAACGTGGGAAGGGTGAGGGATCAGGTGAGCGGTACTTGTCTTTCTCTGACTGGCTTATTTCACTTAGTATAATACTCTCCAGTTCCCTTCATGCTGTCCCAAAGGATAAGAGATCCTTTGATCCTTCTTTTTTATAGCTCTGTAGTATTCCATGGTGTAAATGTACCACAGCTTTTTTATCCACTCATCTACTGATGGGCACTTGGGCTATTTCCAGATCTTAGTTATTGTAAATTGTGCTGCTATGAACATGGAGTTTCATAAGTTCTTTCTAATTGGTGTTTTGGGTTTCTTAGTATATAGTCCTAGAAGTGGGATTGCTATGTCAAATGATAGTTCAATTTTTAATTTTTTGAGGAAACTCCTTACTGCTTTCCATAGTGGCTGAACCAGTCTGCATTCCCACCAGCAGTGTACTAGGGCTCCCCTTTCTCCACACCCTCGCCAGCGCTTGTTGTTTGTTGATGGTAGCCATTCTGACAGGTGTGAAGTGATACCTCATTGTGGTTTTAATTTGCATCTCTCCGATGCTTAGTAACTTTACCTATTATCCAGCTTAGATGACTTCTTATAAAGTAAATTTGGAGTAGCTGGAAGGTGGGGAAGGACCAGTGATCAGGGATAAAAAGGCCATAATGTCATCAGCTTTGTTGGAGTGACTGCTTATTATTGTTAGTAACAACAATCATAGCCACTTACTGAATGGGGACAAGATACTTCAGTGGTGACAGTGAGCCCAGGAGCCACACACCCTGGGTTTGAATCCTGGCCCCATCACAGATTGTGTGATCTTGGACAAGAAACTTTATCTCTCAGGACCTCTGTTTCTCATTGTGGAAAGGGGATAAAAATAGCACCTACATTTTCCTGGCGCTGCACTCTAAAAGGATTTTATGTCATGATTTCTCCGTAGTGAACTCGGGATAACAAACACAATATTTCCTATCCTAGAAGGAGAGGTTTTCCAAAGGACGCACAGAGGCTCTCCTGGCAGCTATCTCATGAGCCCTGGGGAGTTTGAGCAGATATCCCAGGAGGTGCCTGTAGGTCGGTGTACAGCAGTAAGTGGGGAAGGGGGTAGTAATTTGTGCAAAGACAAGTGAAGAGATGCTCAATCCACACAGAAGATAGAGGGCACTTTTGTAGTGATAAATGAGGCAAAGAGCGGGTATGGAAGACAAATAGATTATATTAATTAGGAATATTTTATTGGCAATTAACCCACCCCCCAATAAAAAGCCCCTACCCCCAATTCCAACTGGCTTAGGGGAGAGCTGACTAAGGAGAGCTGACTGTAGATACGGCTGCATCCAAGAGCTCAAGTGATAATCATCAGGAATCTGTCTTGCTCTATCCCTTGCTTCTACTTTACTTGATGTTGACACTGTTCTCAGCCAGGCGCTCTCTTCGTGTGGGAAGATGGCCACAGCAGCACCAAGGGAACATTCTACGGCTTAGCCATCCCGCCTCCTTCCTAAAATTTCAACCAAAGTCCCAGGGTTCACTATGATGGGCCTGGCTGAGGTCATGTGCCCCTTTCAACTGGCCAGGCCTCACTCACTAGCTTCCTCCTGAAATGAAACATGCTGGGACTGCGCCTCCTGCCTTTTTCTTCCCTTTCCCGACTCTTGCTTTGTCTTCAGTTGACCCACTGCTTCCCAGGCTTCCCAACCACACCTCATTCTGGCCTCAGGTAAGAAATGGCCGCATCATCTAGCCTGGGGTGGGGGGTGAGGGATGTCTTCTAGATTGACTTGGACCTTTCTGTTTGTGTTGGCTAAAAGTAGATTCAGGAGATGCCAGTTAGGATAGAAGGAAGCAATGTGTGATGCTAGGATGGCAGAGGAGTTTTCATCTTATGCATCAATTATGACTAAGAATGGCTGTCTTGCAGAGGATGGTCAAGCTGAGTCCAGACTCAGCAGGAAAGGAAGCCATAATTGATTAATAATGTCAGCCAGGAGAACGGCATGTATTTTCCAAGCCTCATTAAAGAAATAGCATGGTTCACAGAGTGCAGCAGCTCTGTTCATGGTCATCTCCACCTCTTAGTCATGTGGTCACAGTACAGTGGCTTAGCGTTATAGGCAACAGTTTTCCCATTTGCACAGTGATGGCATTCATCCTGAAGAGCTTCCAAAAGATTCAGTGGAGACAGTGTACATAAAGTGGTGACCACATTACAACAGAAATGGAGGCTTTAGTTTTTAACAGGTAGAAAGTCATCTCACTTTTTTCCAGGGAGCTCCTTCCCAAAAGTGTTAGCGTTGCCTAGGACATCTCCGTTAGGATCATTTTCATGGTTTTGAACTTCTTTTTTGAAAGATGTACTATTGGATTCTCACCCTTATTCCATCAGGCCCTCACAATTCATTGTATCCAGACCCAACTTCCAGCAGCCAGCATCTGCTTCTTGTTGCCTTTCCTGCCAATAGTGCCTCGGCCAGCACCACCATCTGAGAACTTACAAAGGGTCTGACCTATCTTCTTAAGATCCCACATACCATCTCTTCCACCAAGAGACCCCCTTAATTGCAAAGGATGTATGACAATGGGCACATGATCACAATATGATTGATCATGGGATGCATATCAATGAAATAATAAGAGATGTTTCTGGCTTCTTTCACTTAGCACAGTGTTTTCAAGGTTCACAATGCTGAAGTATGGATCAATAGTTCATTCCTTTTTATTGCCAAATAGTGTGCCATTGTATGGATGTACAGCATTTTGTTTATCCATTCATCCATTTATGAATATTGGGTTGTTTCTGCCTTTTGGCTATTGTGAGTAGTGCTGCAATGAAATTCTTGTGGAACTTTTTGTTTGAACATCTGTTTTCAGTTCTTTTGGGTATATACCTAAGAGTGGAATTGTTGGATCATATGGTAACTCTATGTTTAACTTTTCAAAAATTTATTGATGAGAGAGAGATTTGTTGCTCCAGTTATTTATGCATTCTTTGGTTGATTCCTGTATGTGCCCTGACCAGAGATCGAACCCACAACCTTGGCATATTGGGACAACGCTCTAACCAACTGAGCTACCCAGTCAGGGCTCTATGTTTAACTTTTAGAGGAACAGCCAGACTCTCTTTCCCAGCAGCCGTACCATTTTACATTCCCACCAGTGATGTATAATGGGTTTCAGTTTCTTGATGTTTCACCAATGTTTGTTATTTTTCATTTTTAAAAATTTATAGCCATCCTCGTGAATGTGAAGTAGTATCTTATTATGGTTTTGATTAGCATTTCTCTAATAACTAATGATGATGAGCATATTTTCATGTGTATTGGCCATTTCTATATATTCTTTGGAGAAATGTCTAATCAAGTTCTTTGTTTATTTTTTTTTAATTGGGTTGTTTTGTTGTTGTTGAGTTGTAAGAATTCTTTATGTATTCTAGATATCAATCCCTTTTCAGATATATGGTTTGCAAATATCTTCTTCCATTCTGTAGATTGCCTTTTCACTTTCTTGATAGTATCCTTTTAATTTTAATTTTGTTCAAGTTAAAGTTATCTATTTTTCTTTTGTTGCTTGTGCTTTGGTGCTTTATCTAAGAATTTATTGCTGATTCAAGGTTATGAAAATGAATCCCTATATTTACTTATAAAAGGTTTTATAGTTTTAGCTCTTATGTTTAGGTCTGTGATCCATTTTGAGTTAATTTTTGGATATAGTATTGATTCACATTGGCTGGAGGAATTAATGGGCTGGAGGAATTAATGGGCCAGGTTTTTCAGACATGAGTGGGAGTGAGGTAGAGGTTCTTGAGGTACCACTGAATAAGCATTTTCAGAAGCCCCTGTAGGAGGATGGGATGTGGTGGATTTTATTGGCCTGGAGTTACACTCCTCAGGTTCCTAAGTCCCCTGCCCTTTAAGCCAGTCCTGGAAAAAGTGTAGCTGGGAGTTCAGCAGAACCAGAAACAAAGCCAGTGTCCAGAGTTTCTGTTCCATGTTGTAGCGGGGTGTGATTCAGTGTCCAAGCTAATTAAAGTCTGTTAGTCCATGTGTGGAATCCAACACAGGCCTGACTTCTATCTGCCAACACCTGCATTTTCACCTGAGGGCTTTCTCCGGCTGCTGGAGCCTCCTCTAATCACAAGCATGTCAGTCTAGAAGTACCCGAGTATTAATGCCTTATCCCCAATAGCAGCCCTCAATCACTACTCTTCTTGGGCAGAATATCTCTGAAGATATCGGGATATCACTGTATTCTGTGTCTGCTCCCAGAGTCCCCAGTGGAATTAAGCTCCAACTGCCCACAGTGGTAACTTGTGTGATAGCACCTGCTTTATTGGCTCCTCCCCTCTGTATCTTAGTTCCTACTCTCCTGCAAGTGCTTCCTGGCATGAAATAAACTATTTGCACTCCAGTCCTTGGCTTGTGATCTGCTTTTTGGGAACCCAGGGTAAGACACACTGTGCCTGTCTTCTTTCCCTCAAGGCAGCTTAATGTCTTGCATCTGACTGTTTTCCTGCCCTCTGAAGCATAAAATAGTGGGCACTTACATGGACATATGGTTTGCTCATTGACTGGCTGACAGCTGGAATGAAAAACAACTACCCAAAGCCTTTTTAACACAGTCTACAGGACCCTGCAAATCTGACCCAGCCTCCCCCCATTCTCCCCTTAGGCCTCTGTGCCCCTCACCTGCTGGACCCTGCCCTGAAGCCTCCTTCTAGTTTCACGATATACTTTGCCTCATCTCATTGCAGAACCTTTGTACATGCTCTTCCACCTGCAGAGCTCTTCCCATTATTCATCATTTGATGAATTATTACTCATCCTTCAGATTTTAGCTTTAAAGCCATTTCTTCAGAAAGGCCTTCTCCAGGTCCCTTTTTATTTAGTAAGTACATTGTATTTTCATGATGCTGTGCTCCAATAAAACTGTATGTATATTATCATCTCAAAACAAGTGTTTTTTTTTTTCTTTAGAGTTGAACTTTAAGTGGAATTTACAATAGCCTTTACAATAATGTCAGGCATATCATCTTTGGCAGAATGAACTTCAGTGAATTGGATTAAAAAAATCAACATCATTGTAACTAGCCAATTTTCCATTTGAATCATGTAATGTCATTGATATAAAACTATCATCATTTAAAAGTTAGCAACTTTCTTCTCCTAATGGAACCAATACTTTTCGTTGTTATTTTATTTTCATATGTACACAAAACCGAAAACTGGAAATGAGTGCAATTACTTTAAAAATACAGATATTTGCTATAAATGAAAAAGTCATGCTTCAACTGGGATTCTAAAGAAATGCTATCTCTAACTCCCTACTGACTTCTTTATATGTTTTAAAGGCAGAAAAGCAAAACATTCACACCCTCAGAGATCCAGCTCCTTCTTCTCAAAACCCAATTCTACTTGCAGAGGGCAAAGGGGCACCCCCCCTTTTTTTTTTCTTGCAGACGTGACTCTCAACACTGTTTCCCTGTGGGACCTTGGACAAGTCCTGTCCTTTGGCTGGGTCTCGTTTTCTCCCTCTGTAAAGCTCGGAGGTTTTCCAGCTCTGGCATCCTATGGTCTGTTTCCACCTGGGAAGATGGCCGTGGCACTGATGTCTGACCTCACTGGGAAAACGTGTCAGATAAGCAGGCCCTGCTATCTCAGCAACCTTCATCTTCACCTCCGTTCCTCCACGTAAAACCCGATGCAAGAGTTTCTGGGACAGCCTCCCTCATTGATAAAGTGTCCCCTAACATCTCAATGAGCCCATACACTGTAACTGCAGTGATAGTGAGCTATATCCGGCTGTCCCGGAACCCTGCCCATGTTCCACAGAGTGCTGTGGCTATCACTTATCTACTGAGCATGAATGACCAGAGGCAGAAAAGGCACAAGGAGCGGGTGCTGGTGAGAAGTGGAAGTGATTAATTTATGTCGCATGCTGCAGTGCTGGGGTCAGCAAGTGATAGGCAGAATGTACGTTGACAGCTGCTTTGGAGTTCACGCCACACCGTCAGCACTCTGCAGGAAACAGATGACTTCAGGGCCGCTCTCAAGCTTGTTGACAGCTCGAGCTTTCTGATAAAGTTGTCAGAAAGTGAAAAGGCCAGTCCTAGGAAGTCAAGAGTTTCTTGGCCTGGGAGGTGTTCTGGTAGAGGACGGCAGCCGACGGATGGGATGCTGTAGAAGAGATTGCAGATGTGTCGAGCGGGGAGACTGCGTCTGTCCTGTTCTCCACGATACATCATTGTCATCTAGCACAGTACCTCTCCTCCTTGCTCAGGGGCTCTGGGCCAAGGCTTATTTTCTGGGCACCAGTCAGGGCCATGAGGGACAGTGGAACAAAAGAGAGGTGGGTGAGCCAGGTAGGCTAGGTCCCAAGTATTAAGAAGGGGCCAAATCCAGAGATAATCAGAAAGAGGAGGGACCCAGGGGAGGGATTCAGGGCAGGGAGATAAGAATTCACAAAGGGGGAGAGGAGGTAAAGTGAAAACAAGTCAAGATCAAATAGTATTAGAGGACAGAGATGCTAAGTGGCCACTTTTATAAGCCTGACAGCCCGGTGCATTGGCCTGGCCTTAAAAATGCCCCAAAGTAGGCTGCTCCTGTGTCTTGCTGATAACACTGCGCTGTGGAGCACCAGGAAAGCCAATGCAGAAAAGCAGAGATGCTTAAGGATCATTACCACACCCACACCCACCTAAAGTGAAACTACCTTTAACTCCCATGACAAAAATAGGCATTGTTCTAACTCCGATTACACACTTTACACACCAGTTAGATAATCAGTGCTGCTTTTAGCCACTTGGGCGTTATTCTCTGGGCCCATTTGAGAAGAAGCCATAATGTGACAGCTTTCTAATCTTTCATCTCAATATAGCCCAAGCAATACGCTGTGTGAGACCCATGGGCTGTCCATGTGATCTTATCTTTGCTGAAGAATTTCAGCTAGCTGAATCGCAGCAGTGGGAAAAGCAGTATAAACTATGCGGTTGCTCGAGGAGTCCACAGCTCTGACACTGCCCGCTGCTTACTTACTATCTCGGCAGCTCCACCTCCAGTCTTCTTCACTTTGATTTGCATGCAGTTCTTTTAAAATTGGATTTACTGGGGCGACATTGGTTTGCAAAACCATACAGGTTTCAAGTGTACAACTCAATAAAACATCATCTGCACACTGCACCATGTGCCCATCACCCCAAGCAAAGTCTCTCTCCATCCCCATTTCCCCTCCCTTTGCCCACCTCCACCTACCCCTCACCCCCCTTTCCCTCTGGCTATCACCACGATGTTGTCTGTGTCTGTGTCTGTGTGTTATATATATGTTTTTTTTGCTTAATCTCTTCACCTTCTTTCATCCAGTCCCCCACCCCCTTTCCCCCTGATAGCTGTCAGTCTGTCCCATGCATCCATGCCTCTACTGTATCTATTTTGTTCATTAGTTTATTTTGGTTATTAGATTCCACATGTAAGTGAGATCATATGCTATTTGTCTTTCTCCAACTGTCTTATTTCACAGATTTGCATGTAGTTTTCAGTTGGGCGAGAAAGAGCACTGAAAGCTCTATGTTCTATGCCCTGCCCCCCCCAAAAAAAAGCTGGAGCCCCACTAGGCTTTGGCATTAGTCTATAAAGGTTGTGTTCTCTCTTTCTACCCAGAGTGTGTCACAGGAGAGAGCCTGACCTGGGTGGGGTGATTTGAGGAAACTGGATGACTTCCCAGCCTCTCATGAGTCAGGTGTTCATGGCCTCATTCTTTTGTTCAAAGTGAATTCCTGGAACATAACCCATTTTCTGATATCAATGCAAAAACACCTCCAATGCCAAGTGGTGTCCTTTGGGGTCACATCAATGGATCCTCCAGGCAGCCTGCTTTTTAGAATGGGAGAGATGGGCTGGGAGAGGCAGGCAGGCATTCATTTTTGCAGGGCCTTTGGGGCAATGGTGAGGAATTTGGATTTTGAGCAATGAGAAGTTATCAGAGAGTTGAAAGCAGTTACAGGCCATGATCTGATATTCATTTTTCAAAGCTATATCTGTCAACAGAGTGGCTAATGGGATGGAGGGGATGAGCGGATGAGGGAAACTGTTTAGGAGGAGGCCACCGAAGTAGCCATTCACTCATTTATTCATGTATTCTCCAAATACATGCTGCACTCCAACTCCATGGGTACAAGATGTGCTTCCCTACACTCCTGGAGCTCAAGGGGGAGAAGGTCAATGAAAAGGTAAACAAAGAAAAGAGATCAGTTCAAACTATGATAAGTGCTATGCAGAAAGTAAGACCAGATGCTATGATAACGAGTGACCAGGGGAGAGGTGACCGTCACTTTAGAGGGTTGAAGGAATGGCCTTTCTGAGGAAGTGACATTTGTGCTGAGACCTAAAAATGGGAATGAGCGAGTCATGTAAAAATGTGAAGTGGGGCTGGGGGGAGTGTTCTAGGCAGAGGAAACAGCAAGTGCAAAGGCCTTGAGGGAGGAATGAACTTCACAGTGACTGTGGGGTGGTGAGTGGGGACTCGAGTCCCAAGCAAGGGTGGAGAAGCCAGCAGGGACCAGCCTAGGCCTAGGCACCCATGGTTAGGAATCTGGGTTTTACTTTGCGGGGATGAGAACCATTCCAAGGTTTTGAACAGAGGCACCAATAAGAGACAAATAATAGCCTGTGGGCCAAATCCAGCCTGCCGCCTGTTGTTTGTAAATAAAGTTTTATTGGAACCCAATCTTGCCCATCATTTACACATTATGTATGGTTACTCTCATGCTACAACAGCAGAGCTGAGTAGTTGTGACAGAGACCACCTGGCCCACAGAGCCTAAAATACCCTGGCCCTTTACAAGGTAGTTTGCTGACCCCTGATCTAATTGATGTTTTCAGAAGGTTATTCTGGCTGCTGTGTGGGCCAGTGTCATGGAGTAGAGCTAGGGAGCTATTGCAGGACACAGAGGAAGGTGAGGCCTTTTCTTACACCAGTCCTGTTGGCTGATGTTTTCTCCGCTCTCAGAGAGAGGGAGCCTGCTCTTTGGTCAGTGGGCTCATTTCTTTGGGTGCACATTGCTGTGAAGACAGAGACAGTATCTGTGCAAGGAAAGTTTCTTGGTGCACTGTGGCCAGCCCAGCACACTCTACTTCTCCTGGTGAACTTGGCAAGCTGAATTAATCGCTGCTTGTGGGGCCTCCACCCAAACCATGACTGCCTGTCTTTTGTCTGCGGCACCTCGTCACCAATTTGGAGCTTAGATTCAGCGCAGGCCAAGCAGCTGTTTCCCATTACCTGCTTGTCCCATTTCAGCAGCCCGTTGTGACTGCCAAGCATGCCCACATCACTCCCACCAGACAGCAAGAGACACTGTGAGAAAGGAATCTCATTTCCAAATTTTAGGGCAGATTGGTTTTGTTTTGTTTCTTGAGAAAAACATGAAATAAGTAAAATAGTTGAGTATTGTGTTAAAAAAGAAAAAAAACCTAACCCCAAACATCTGGGTTCTTTGTACCATGGGAGCTTATTTTCATTCCTTTGGTTGTAACTGATAAATATTCACAGAATAATTGAGTTAGTACATTTTTTTTTTAGAAGGAAAACCATTTGTGTTATGCAAAGAAATGGTGAAGATGAAGGCAGGGACAAGAAGAGAAGATTCGGGTAACAGAGCAGCTGTCCCCACACAGCTCACTATAGTTGAGAAGTCAAAATGTACTTCAAATTTATTTCGACAAGCATTAATTGAGCACCTACTCTATGCCAACCATTGCTGTGTGCTGGGGAACCTAAGTTGAATAAAATGAGGTTCCTTCTGTCCGGGCCTCACAATCTGGTAACAAATATAGCAGTGATGATATAGCATGGTAACAGAAGCAAAGCACTGTAAAAGCTCTTTATTCCCCACAACATCCCTCTGACATAGTTATTATTATTCCAAATTTAAATTGAGATTTGGAGAGTAAATGCCAGGGTTGGGATTTGAAGCCATACCCATTTGCCATTGGAGCCTTTTGCTGCCCCTCAGGTTGGTAGAACTGGACCAATCTGAGGTGGGTTTCAGCTCAGAAACAAAAGGCGTAGAAGGTGATGAGCTATGTGTCAAAGGCAGTGTGTAGGTAAAA